TGATTTGTAGTCAGGTGGTCAAATCAAGACAAGCAATACTCCATTAACACAGATGACCCAAAGAACAGAATCTAGCTGTGGGTTTTTTGTTTGTTTGTGTTTGTAATCTAGCCAGATTGAGAAACGATTACCCTAAGAAACAAAAACAGTCAACAGTCCTTGCTTATGGAAATAACACAGTTTCCACCCCGGCTCCTGACCATATTTCCCCAGAATCCTTGTTGAATTACAAGTTTCAATAAAGCTGAAATTCACCCTAAAACAAGCACTCACTACCAAGACCAAGTAACCACCGACCTTTTGAAATTATCCACCACACAAAAGCCTCCACCTCCAAATGTCCCTGTTTCAATATTTACTTTGTTTCCAGCTTGAAGGAATGCACATGAAAGAAAGCATCTTGTGCTTACTTCCAAGTAATGACTTTTTAAAGTGATTTATTCCTCTCATTTCAGTACATGTTTCCAAATTAGCGTGAATTTTAAGATTGATTTTGGGATAATGCCAGAATTTCAAAATCCCATGCGCCTAGACTTTCCAAGATGTGGAATGTGAGCCTTCTAGTATTACCTCTCAGGGAATGACTACACCTTCTTTCTCTGTGGGCTCCTTTTTTTATGTCCTTATTTAAATGTGTTTCAGTAGGATTTTTCTTGTCTTCTTTAATCTCCACACCCCTAGAGATCTTATCTAGTCCGTTGCTTTGTAAAACAGAAGATGTACGGACATGTGGAGGAAATAAAATTAAGGACTCTATTCATACAAAAATGTGCATATGTATGTCATATTCACAGTACAGAAAGAAAGTGAAGTCGCTTAGTCGTGTCCAACTCTTTGTGACCCCATGGACTGTAGCCTGCCATGCTCTTCTGTCCATGGGATTTTCCAGGCAATAGTACTGGGTTGGGGTGCCATATCCTCCTCCAGGGGATCTTCCCAAGCCAGGGATCGAACCTGGGTCTCCTGCATTGTAGGCAGATGCTGTACCGTCTCAGCCTAGGTTCTTTTAAAAACATAGCTCAAAGGGATTTTGGTGCAAATAGTCAAATGGACAAATGCTCCCAAGAAGCAGAAGTGTGGAACCAGGGTACCACAGACTCAGTGTTTGTATCCCTCCAAAATTCCTATGTTGAAATTCAATCCCCAGTGTCACAGTATTCGGAGGACCTCTGGGAGGTAATTAGGTCATGAGGGTGGGTTACTCATAAAAGAGATTAGTGCCCTGATAGAGGGAACACCCGGGAGCTCTCTAACCTCAGCTTCTCATTAGGACACAGCAAGGAGATGGCTATCTTTGAACCAGGAAGCAGGCCCTCACCTCACACCAGTCTGCTAGTGGTTTGAATCTGATCTTCCCAGTCTCCAGAACTGTGAGTAACAAATGCCTGTTGTTTATTGTATTTGGTTTCTATTCTATTACAGCCACCTAGTCTATTATATTTGGTTTCCTAGTGACTCAGATGATAAAGAATCTGCCTACAATGCAGGAGACTCAGGTTCGATCCCTGGGTCAGGAAGATCCCCCTGGAGAAGGGAATCGCAACCTACTCCAGTATTCTTGCCTGGAGAAGCCCATGGACAATGGATTCTGGTGGGCTACAGTCCATGGGACCGCAAAGAGTCAGACACAACTGACTGAAAAACACTCACATAGCATATTGAATGGGCTAAGATGTGGGGAAAGTGTAACAATAAAGGAGAAAAAAAAAGCCTATATAAAATATATGTTTTCAAATTGACTTCTGTGAATACTGAGTGTGTAATCCCACTTGGACTATCTGCGGAAATTTATGGTAAGGATCTCAGGGTTCAGGGAATGTAAAGAAGCAGCAATTACCCATCAGATCTTGTCTCCCATTGAGAGTCCCTTTATAAGTCGTAAATTCCCTGAACTGAGTTGCACACATGAATTCTCAGCTAGCTCCCACAGGTGAAACATATGCTAGAAAAGCACCCAAGCGGCATGCAGTTCTCCAAACTGCTGGCTGGCTGTAAGCTTTACAGAAGAGTTTACGTGGGGAGATGTTTTGCAGCTATAGTTCTATCGTGTGTAAACAGTTCCAAGTCATAACTGGTATTCATCATCTCCTTTCTTAGAGCTCCTTCATGCAGCTCGTGTGGGTTTCTTGCCCAAAGGGGTGACCCAGCCTTCAAGGAGTCCGGCACTTGGCTGACTTGGCTGTGGCAGACCTGTGTTCTGTGCTAAGTCACTTCAGTTGTGTCCGACAGTGTGTGGTGGACCTAAATGGCTGCAATTATCCACTCAGGTTTATTTCTGGGCCCTGAAACACCATGATATGTCCAGTGAATCTTCCTGGTCCCAGACAAGCCCTCCTCCTTCCCCAACAAACAGCATGCACGCCGACTCTTTGTCATGATCAGTGTCAATACCCTGCCAGCATCAGCACCTCTGGCTCATTGGCATGAGCAGCCCAATTCCATGAGGTGTTAGTTTTTAGCTTCCGGTTCATTGAGATCTTTACTGTGTTCCCCAGAAGAAACATTTCCCCAATAAAAATAAAAATTTATAAAAGAGCCTAAATTGTGAGTACATGAAATACAGTTTTCAAAGTGGATTGACAAGGGTAATGGGGAGAGAGCCAATAGTATCTTTATATTGCTTATGGAACTGATGTTATAGATATGAGGGACCCTGCACTGAATAACGGCAATTAGTTTAACACATAAGGCACATCTCAAGGACAGCAGACAAAACCTGCATGGTATTGAGGCTCTGAGCATTCATTTCTCTTAACAGTTACTAGGTAGTCCCCTCATCCCATTAGTTTGACACTTTGTGGTGATAAGGTGCATAATGAGACAAGTAGATTTGCCATAAGTTGTCTTGTGCACAGGAGGAAGTTTGTATGATCTCATTCTGATGAATTCGGCATTTTGTAAGAGCCTAGATGGTAAGGTTGGCCCAGTACTGTGTGTGGGAAAGCAAATCCATATCCAAAATTGTGTCAGTGCTAGTAAGATTAAATCGCTGCCTCCTCCAAGGTTGAAAGGGTCTAATTTCAACGTGCCTCCAAGTTCAAATTGAGGGCCAAATTGTTCCCACCAAGGGCCCTGGTTGCTGCCATTGACAGTTTATCCATTCAGTGCGGTCACAATAGCTAACAACCAGAGTGAGAGGGAACCCACATCATTGGGTTCACACACAGCTCCCTCTCAGCCCTAATGGACACTCTGTCCATCAGCCCATTATACAAACAACGTGCTGGCTGAGAAGTAAGCTGACTGGTGGGCCATCTTGTCCACCTTCCAGCTGAAATTCTCTTCTGTCAAAGAGGCTTTGTGTCTGCCAGACATTAATGTGAGACATACAATAATCCACAAGCCTTGTACCTTATCCCAAATCCTTCAGCATATAATACTCCAGTCTTCCTTCCTTCTGTCTTCCAATCTTTGTCTGTCTAGGTCCCAATTCGGCAAAATGAATGACAAGTGATACTACCCCCAGCTCTGCCCACTGGGAGGGTCTTTTCTCACTACTGACCTGTAGAGCTGTAGCTAGGCTGAGTGGAACTGCAGCAGGTATCTGCAGCTTACATCAGACTGGTAGGCTGGCCCATCTGAGAACCAGACCAGAATTTTCCCTTTGTCACGTGGTCNAGTCCACAGGGTCACAAAGAGTCGGACACCACTGAGCGACTTTCACTTTCACTACATGGATGCTTTACCTGGCTAGGTAAGTATAGATGGACATTGAAAAGGCAGAAAAACAAAGTTAACAAAGCAGTTAATATTTATTCACTAATTCTTAGAACATCTTATTGAAATAGGTGATAACCAGTCTGTTTCCTGCTTTCTGGAAGGGGAAATGGAGCCACAGAATTCATTATTTGTACTCCCTCTCCCAACATGACGATCTTGAAACACAGTAGCTCCTCAGTGAATCAGAACCAGAATTCAAGAGACTTCCCTAACCCTCCCAAAGCAGGGAGACCAGGTTCAATCCCTGGTCAGGAAACTAGATCCCACATGCCACAACTAAGGCCCAGCACAGCTAAATAAATAAATAAATAAATAAATATTTTTTTAAAAGAATTAGAATTCAAAATTATTAGTTCTATAAAATGATTCCTCCAAAAAATAAGAATGCTAGAATAGCAGATTTTAAACAATTTGGTGCCAAGTATTTTATCAACAGAAAGCCCTTCACTCTGCTTAGGTTGTAATTGAGATTTGCATTAACATTTAAATAAAGTAAAAATTTAGGCAATGGCAGTACTGTGAAGGGTAGCTAGGCTGTATTTTAACAGATACAAAGTTAACGGATTTATTTTACTAAGAGGATTGAACAGAGTGGAAGACCCACCATGAGAGTAATACAGTCAAGTGACACTTAAACTTAAGAAAGTGCAGGTAATTGCAAAGATTCCAAGACCAAACCTTTATACAGTTAATTTTTTGTTGTTGTTGCTTTGTTTAGAATACTGTATTTTACTTGGAAGTACTACTGCTTTTATTTTTTCCTAAATTTTTACTGGAGTGTAGTTGCCCCACAGTTCATTTTTAATGTCCCTATTTCACATCTTATTTACTAAAATCAGCAAAGGAAGCTGAGCTACATTTTCTTTCCAAAGCTCAGATGGACTTGGAGAGCAGCTGTCAGCATCTGACTCTGTTGCTGGCTGGACACACTTGACCTCGCCTCCTCAGTGGGCACCTTGACCTGGGCAGCCGTGGGGGCAGCAGGCCCCGTCACACACCTAGGGAGAGGCCCTGGCGGCTCGGGACCGGGAACACACTTTCTCACACACACGCTTGCCCTGCACTCCAGGGTCTCAATGTGCACAGACAGTGGTGAAGAGGTTTGCGGTTGAACTGCCTGAAGTGACTCTGGAAGCTCAAGTGCCGGGATGCAGCAGGAAAGGAAGGCGGAGCCTGGCCCCGCTCCCTGGGCTGAGGCAGGCAGTGAACAGAGCAAGGTGGAAGAAAATAATCACAAGCGCTTGCAAACACTCTTAATTAGTACCTGAGTTTCATGAAGGCTATGCGGCCACTAGGAATCGACATGCCTCAATTTTCCTTCCTTCTCTAAGGACACACTCATTGTGCAGAATGACCCAAGAAATCGGCTTCTTACCTGTCCTTGGTGAGCCCCTGAGGCAGCGGAGACGTATTCTTCTTTTGAGGAAATAGGCTGTGATGTGAAAGCCATAACCTGAAAAGTGAGTATGATACATCACTCCTGTGGAATCTAATTTTAAAAATGATACAAATGAACTTACTTGTGAATAGAAACAGATTCACAGATTTTGAAAACAAACCTATGGTTACCAAAGGGGCCACGTAAGGGGGGGATATATTAGGGGCGTGGGATTAACATATACACACTACTATATATAAAAAGGTAGTCGACAAGGACCTACTGTATAGCACGGAGAACTACGTTCAACATCCTCTGATCAACCATAATGGAAAAGAACATGAAAAAGAATGTGTACATATGCATATAACTGAACGACCGCTGTACCGCCGAAATTAGCACAACAGTGTAAACCAACTACACTGCAATAAAGCAAAACGGAAACACCTGTGAAGCAAAAGAGGTCGGCATCAAATCATACACCTGTCCGTGGAGGAAGCCCACCGGCCCAGCCCGGTGCCTGCCACCCAGTGAGCACTCGGTGACCGCCTGGTGAGGAAGAGGAGGATCTGCAGAGGCCTCTTCCAGAGGAAGAGGTGCACAGTGCCCGGGCAACTCCTAGGAGGCCTGGCCAAGGCACCTGGAATAGCCCCCAGTCACTGAAGCAGCTCAGTTACTGTATCTGGAAAACGGCCTAACTGAGGAGGTCTGACCAAACAGGCCTAACAATCAGGCCCTCAGGCAGGATGCTTAATTCAGGCTTAGTGGTTGTACCACTGGCCACTTTCTGATACTCACTGCTTATCAGCTCACATAATGAAGCATTTAAACTATTTGAAGAGGAGTGTGTTTTGCCTATAAGTTATTCTAATTTAAGTAAAGCCTTTATATAGGATATGATGAAACAAAATATGACATAAGTCCCCCTGCCTCTCCCCAAAAAAGAGGCAGAAAAAAACTCTCCAACTACCAGAATGGCCAAACCGGAAAAGGCCATGAACACCAACTGTTGGCAAGAATGTGGGCTAACAGGAATTCTCATGCACTGACAGCTGCTTTCAGCATCTAAAGCTGAACTCGAGCATAGACACAGGGTGCATGAATGGCACTTTCACAAAAGTCCCAAACTAGAACTGATGCAAATATCCACCAGAAGTAGAATTTTTCATTAAAAACAAAGTGGGGTGTGTGGGAGGTAATAGTCACACAGTGCAAATCCTACTCTGCCCCTAAAAGTAAATGAACTTCAGTTAGAGGCCATATCAGGACTAAATCTCACAAACATAAAGTTAAGTGAAAGAAACCTGGTCCGAAGGAGTGCACTCCACCTGTAACGATGGAGACACTGCCGTTCCTCTTACCATCATCAAATTCTGCAGCAACGACACTTCTGTAGTCAAGGAAGTACCAGCATAGTTCCCTCCTCTCTCCATCCCTCCCTTCTTTCCTCCCTTCCAGCCCTGCTCCAAGTATAAAGTACTCTGTCAAATGAGCCTCCTGAAATGATCAAGTAAAAATGTCTGGTTAACACAGTAGGCAACCTGGTGGAAGAATCAAAAGCGAAAGGCCCACCAAGGAAGGGTGAGGGTTCCCAGGTTCCCAAACAACTTCAGCAAATCGCTTATCCTCAGAGACAGGACAGGGGTTAAAAGAGGTGGTCTCCAGGCCCACTGGACTCTCCAAAGACCAATAGGATCATTGTTTTGAAATAATCTGTATACAAAGAATACAATTAAAGAAGTTTCCAGTTCTATATTCAAGTATCCTTCTGTCATCCTCGTAGAAAGATCCAGAACATCAGTGACCACAGACCTGATGTTCTGTCTACACAAGCTGTGACAGCACAATTCCTTTAGCCATGGGGATTTCGCAACAACAGTGACATCTATGACAGGATAATCTCCAGGTTTACGGAGATGAAATATGTTTTTTCCTAACACACTTGAAGTGGATCGCATTTTGGTCATGTGGCTTTCTTCTGCTTAGAATGTCAAACGAAATATGCACACCACTGGCATTATTCTGAGTGCTTTAAAACAAATACTTCAACCCTTAGGTCACCGGGAGAGTGGAAGTGACATCCACATCTGTTTATTTGTCTTGCAGCTGAGGGAGGGGGATGGTAGGAGACATAACAGTCAGGGACATAGAAACACACAAAGAGAAGTGATTTTCAAAGTAATGATTTATTATGTGAGTTTTGCAAGGGACTGAACAACAACAAAAATGCGTTATCAAAGTCACTCTGCCTCTGCTGCGGATCATACTTTAACGCTTATAGTTCCATGTGATTAGGGGTCAGAGAATATGCTCCAATTCTCAAAACTCTTTTCCCTGTACAAAATCTCCAGGAATAGAGTGTTATTGGTAGGAAGAGGCTGAATCTGAAGCTGACTAGGAAAGTTCCAGTACGAGTTCAGGAAGCCTGGCATCTGGAGATACCACTTGAGTGATAACTAAATCCTGCTTGGTCAGCTGTCTCAATACACCCCTTCCCCTCTAGGAGAATAAAGCAGCATAAGTCACACTCTGACTGTTTTACTACTGAGGTTACCAGGAGAGTGGGGTTTACTGCAATCTTTCCTCCTCTGTCCCACTCCCCTCACCGCCCCACGACAGGATCTTAAAGGGAGTCTGGTTAACACAGTAGGCAACCTGGTGGAAGAATCAAAAGCGAAAGGCCCACCAAGGAAGGGTGAGGGTTCCCAGGTTCCCAAACAACTTCAGCAAATCGCTTATCCTCAGAGACAGGACAGGGGTTAAAAGAGGTGGTCTCCAGGCCCACTGGACTCTCCAAAGACCAATAGGATCATTGTTTTGAAATAATCTGTATACAAAGAATACAATTAAAGAAGTTTCCAGTTCTATATTCAAGTATCCTTCTGTCATCCTCGTAGAAAGATCCAGAACATCAGTGACCACAGACCTGATGTTCTGTCTACACAAGCTGTGACAGCACAATTCCTTTAGCCATGGGGATTTCGCAACAACAGTGACATCTATGACAGGATAATCTCCAGGTTTACGGAGATGAAATATGTTTTTTCCTAACACACTTGAAGTGGATCGCATTTTGGTCATGTGGCTTTCTTCTGCTTAGAATGTCAAACGAAATATGCACACCACTGGCATTATTCTGAGTGCTTTAAAACAAATACTTCAACCCTTAGGTCACCGGGAGAGTGGAAGTGACATCCACATCTGTTTATTTGTCTTGCAGCTGAGGGAGGGGGATGGTAGGAGACATAACAGTCAGGGACATAGAAACACACAAAGAGAAGTGATTTTCAAAGTAATGATTTATTATGTGAGTTTTGCAAGGGACTGAACAACAACAAAAATGCGTTATCAAAGTCACTCTGCCTCTGCTGCGGATCATACTTTAACGCTTATAGTTCCATGTGATTAGGGGTCAGAGAATATGCTCCAATTCTCAAAACTCTTTTCCCTGTACAAAATCTCCAGGAATAGAGTGTTATTGGTAGGAAGAGGCTGAATCTGAAGCTGACTAGGAAAGTTCCAGTACGAGTTCAGGAAGCCTGGCATCTGGAGATACCACTTGAGTGATAACTAAATCCTGCTTGGTCAGCTGTCTCAATACACCCCTTCCCCTCTAGGAGAATAAAGCAGCATAAGTCACACTCTGACTGTTTTACTACTGAGGTTACCAGGAGAGTGGGGTTTACTGCAATCTTTCCTCCTCTGTCCCACTCCCCTCACCGCCCCACGACAGGATCTTAAAGGGTATCCTTCCTAAACTGGTGTCTTCCTCTGGTTTTAGTGGAAAACCCTGCTGAACACACCTATAAAAGAAATGGTAAGCTTACCACATAAAGAGATTTGCACTTGCTTAGTCCAAATTATACTGGCTATGGGAAACCTTACTGTTTAAAGAGAAAGCAGAAAGAGAAAACACAAAAACTGTTTGTGTTGGTTCTTACAGCAACCTAGCTCTGATAATGTAAGTAGAGAAACTCACAGCTGTTGAAATACACTGAGCTGACATACTTAGGGAGCTGTATTTCGTTTGTCCACAGATAACAGCAGTGATAAAGATGCATTATCTTTGCTCTTTAATGACATAGGTTTCACAGAATGGAGCAGGCCTCTGAGACTGTGTACTAATCCGGGGCTCAAGCAAAGCTCCACCATGCTCGAAAGCTAAATGGCAGCTTGGCAAAGAATCCAGGGGAACCTCTGCTTCCCCTTCTTGGGCACCAGCTCCAGGCTTGCAATACTAATGCTCTAAAAGCCCAGAACTGGGGTCAGGGCTGGGAGGAAGAAGCAAAATGGAAATCATAAAGTGATAACCTTTTCATCTGAAAATTACATGGCAATGGTATTCCAAAATCTAGAGGCACTTTTAAATCACAATTAAGGACGCCTATTTTCTTGAGAGCTATTGTGGTCCTCCTTAGCCTGAAAAAAATCTATCTTTAGCCACAAATAGAGACTGGGATTAGAGAGAGAACTGCTTTATCGTGGAAGCATCTTTCCACCAGTAGTCTTCAGGTAGATCTATTTCAAGAAATAATTGGGTTACCATAGTAGCTTAGACAGTAAAGAATCTGCCTGCAATGCAGGAGACCCAGGTTCAATCCCTGGGTTGGGAGGATATCCTGGAGAAGGGAACAGCAACCCAATTTAGTATTCTCGTCTGGAAAATTCCAAGGACAGAGAAGCCTGGCGGGCCTCAGTCTATGGGGTCACAAAGAGTCAGACAAGACTGATAGACACACACTGCACTGCTTAATGTATGAGACGTCCAGTCCCAGCCAGAGACCACAGTCTCCCCAGCAGCCCCCAAAGTCTCCTATCCCTGCATTTCCCAACTCCATACTTTATAAGGAGCTGCTGCACTCCCCACCACCTTCCAACAGACAACCTTCCAACCCCCAGCGACGTTCTAGATGACAACCTGTTACCACACGCACTTCCTTCTACTCTTCTCCAAAGAACATCAAGTATCCGAGAGAAGAAAGGAGATGGGGTCATATTTGTGAGGTAAAGAAAGGGTGGTCTCTGCTTTAAGGACAGAGTTCTGCTACTATTTCATTTAGCATTCTGTCTAAAAT